ACTTACAAATTAAAATAGCAAGCTTAAAACAATTATAAACCTCACCAGTTTAATGTGATTGCATTATTAACTTGCATGGCAGTAACATCAACAGATTTTTATTGCTCAAGATTGTAAATGGTATGACAGCCACAGATAACATTTACATTTTATACGAAGGGTGAGCCTTTTCAGTAAATGAGTTAAACTAAGAAACATCTGCATCAAAATAAATATTTGAGATAAACTGGAAGAAAGTTGGCAGTATTGCAGAGAATTGGGCCTCCTAGACACTTTCAGTATGATATCTAAACAAGGAATTTCATTTAAGGTATCTTAAGTTCAAAGGTTGTACAAATTATTAGTTATCGAAGTCAATCTAGTTACGAAATTAGTTTCAGTCTGCTTTATCCATATCCAACTCAGTCAAGTCCAATTGGCCAGCTTGAACAAGGCATCAAATCAATGTGCGTACACAATAAAGTAATGAGTAGTCTTAAACGTGGTCCAAACCCTAGGAGGTAGCATCCAAGCTAGAAATGGTAGCGGCTCATCAATGCCAGTGGATAGCATAAAATATTCCTCAAATCCTGTATGCAGGCCTTAAATTCTCAATATCATTATAAGATTACCAGTTTTCTCTTTATAACTTTTGGCAACTTTCTGCTCTGTATAGCAAGGAGGGATTAATATGCAAGATTGCACATTTGCACTAAATAGCTGAAGCCTTCAAATACTAACCTTCCACCAAAAATCTTGGCAAGCCAACCCCCTGGCAATTGACTCAATGCATAACCCCAGAAGAATGATGATTGCACTAATCCAGCTACTGACGCATTCCACCCAAACTGATGTGACATTGGAATTATAGCAACACTCAAGTTCACCTATCACATTTAACAAGCTTAACAAAATCAGTTCAACCCTGAATATAAAAACCAAATAACTAAGGCTCCATTTTCTACTACTTAAATGTGCTATTTGCTTTTTACTTTAAAAAAAGTTGCATTAAAGCAAAATCATAATCGACTAAAAATGCACAAATGACTAAAATGTAACACAAATTCAAACAATTGTTCTATATAAAGTAAAATCACAAGCTTTGTTATCCAAAAAATATAACATTATTAATTCTTACATCTTAATTTTGTATTCTAATACTCCTATTGCTTTTACTTCCAGAAAGAAAATGAAAGTAACAAAGTAACAACCAAAGTCAACCCAACAAGAAACTTGTACGGTATAAACTTCACTGGAATTTGTTCATTCAAAATACAAATGAGCCCATAATTCTGCATGTAACAAAAGATTTACAAGGAGTTCTGTGTCGAACACCAATTTTTCCACTGCAATAACGTTACATGTCTCAGAAAGGCAGTTTATTTTGGCATTAAAACACAACTTAAACTTCACAATAGATACTTGGGAACCACAAACTGTTCGTTAAATTGCTCAAGAGAGTAAAAACTAAAGCAATAAAGTCAACAACCAACCTTATCCATGTTACAAATAACAAAGGCAAGCGAAGTGGTGCCAATGAGTTTATATCTCTTCGGAATATTCTTCCATGAAGGCCATTCCAAATCCAAACCCACTTCCCTTGAACCACTTTCCAGACCTAAACCCGCTTTGCTGTCCACCTCCTCGACCCGTACCCCATTGACTAACCCACCAGCCCTGTCTCTCTTGTCTTTAACATTCTCTTTCTCCTTGATACTGCATAAAACTTTGAAATTCAACCGATGCTTTGAAGGACTTAACTGCAAGTCGAGATTCTTGCGTGTAGTGTTCGTAAAAAAGATTGAGCTTTGGGAAGTGTAGGTGTTGTGAGAAAGAAAACGTAAGTTATAATCTAGTCTCGAGGTGAATTTTGCCATTTCTATAGCTTGTGTTTAAGAATGTTCAAAAAGAAATGAAGGGCAGCTGAGTTTAAGGATCCATGATGAAACTCAGACGTGTGATTAGGAGGGAAGAGAAGAGAATGTGCTGAGGGAAACTTGGTTGGAAGCGTTGGCGAGAGAGAGGACTTGAGGAGGCCACGAGGGAGACGGTTTGTGGCTTGGATTTGCTTAGATTTTTGGGCATCTTCTTGAATATTTGGTTCATGGGTTAAGTGTGTGGGACCCACGAAATCTGGCTCTTTCTGATTGGAGGTGGTGCTAAGCTTTTAATACTGACGCGACTCATGCATTTCATCATAGAGAAACTGAAAAAACAAAACAGAAAGTCAAGAAAGCAACCGAAGCTACTCAAAATTGAGATACAAGTTGTCAGCTTTTCTTCTACGCCTGAAAATCTGTTGAAATTGAGAAACGTATTGAACTCTTCCTTCTTGTTTTAGGCAGCTGAAGAGAGAGCATGGGAAGGCCAAATGTCTCCATGGCGACCAATTTTTGCCCATACATTATGTGCTGTTATTGGCAAGTACAGAGTCACCATCCGAGCTGGGCACTTTTGGCAGACAACACCTCGTTGGATAACTTGGGACTAAGGTAACGATTGGAATAAGGAAAGTGATGACATATTTTTGTAATGTTTTTAATTAAATTATATTATAGTATTTATTTTACAACAGATTACTGTAATATAAAATTACAATTCAATCACATTACAATCAAGATATGTAATGTGATTACAGTCTAAAATCAATGTAATCACATTACATTACACTCTGTAATGTACTTAAAGATAATTTTACCCTTTAACTTTATTATCTTATTAAAAATATTTTATACTATTATAATTAAAATAAAAAATATTAAAATAAAATATATATATATATATAATATAAGAATCAAAAAATAAAATAAAATATAAAAAATTAAAATTTATATAATATAAGTAAAATAAATTAAAATAAAATATATAATATAAAAAATATATTAAAGAAACAAAAATAAAATATATAAGATTATAATAATAAATGAAAATAAAATATATGACATTAAAAATATATTTCAGAAATTATATTATATAAAAATTAATAATAAAAAATATAAATATATTAAAAATAAAATATATAAGATTATAATAATAAATAAAAATAAAATATATGATATTAAAAATATATTTAAGAGATGATATTATATAAAAATTAATAATAAAAAATATAAATATATTAAATTTGTATTTTAATAACTAGAGGGTAATTTTGAAAATTAACATTACATTCCTAACAAAGTACTTGTAAACCAAACACTGTAATATTATTTTTTTATATTTTAATCATTATTTTTTTGTATATCAAACACTGTAATGTTATTTTCTCTGTAATTACATTATCTGCAATCACATTACCTGTAATCACATTGAATTGTACAATATCAAACGTCATTTAAGAGATTGCAAACAGGAGAACGAAAGAAATCAGCACATCAAAATTAACATTCGATAATTAAAATGTTTTCATGCAAGATATAAGTATGCAGAAACAAGGAAAGGAATAGAGAAATTCCGAGCTCAAGACAAGGCAACTGCATTCGACAGATCAATTCCCCAGATCAATTCCCAGACGACTTGATAACTTTCTTTTGCATTCCAAGACTTAGGAAAATGATAGCCATTGACTTAGAAAGACCATTGCCAGGGGAATTTACCTTCAAGGACCAGGAGACGATCTATTTTCTTCATTCAATAATATGTACATGCTCTTGTACAGATAGCCAACGTTCATTGGGCAAAACTTGGTCAATGTTGTTGGGCTGGGATCCTAGGTCATGAACCAGAAAGGGGGAGGCCACCATACGTTTGGGCCTCGACCAATCTGTGTTGGTAGTTCCTGCTGATGCAAACCGATACGTTTCTTTCAAGAACTTCCTCCACAGAAGAAGCCAGGCCATACTAATTAATGGCATAGTTCTTTGCCTTCCACTGATTATTATTTTACTATTATTATCATTATTAAAGTCCTAATTTTAATTGATTTTTCGTTTTAATTAAAAATGCACTCATTCCGAAGTTCTAAAAAAATGTGCACGCAAATCCTTTTATACTACTCTATCAGGTAAGGGTTTGAGCCAAAACTGAATTATTTTAGGCCGACATGTTTGCAGTTTGTCCCCACTTATGCTGCCTTGTCCTCTAAGAAAATAAATAACTAAATAAGAACAACTAAAAGTAAAATAATAGTATTTAGTTAACTTGCTGCGTTAACCATGATTATACCACATGGATTTGTGATCTTTAAGCATGCATTTGCGACGATTTCATTTATCAATGTCCTGGCTTTTGCCTTGCTGGTTGATTTATAATTAATATTAGCTTCTTTGAATAGTTTGTGTATATATGAATATATAGAATAATGGAAACTATTTGATAATAATTTTAATAAATAAAATATAAAAGATTCAACATTAAGAAATTAAGTGACAAATTTTAAAGTGAAAGAATAAAAGAAGATAAAAAATAAATGAAATCAAAAGAAAAGATAGGATTCAATAAAAAATTTGAATGTGAATAATTTTATAAATTATTAAAGGGTGAAGTGAAAGCACAATTTTACATACGAAGAAAACAAAGAGAGAAATTTGGTTTCATATCCTTTTGGTTCTATATGAATATGATAATTAGATTTGGCCTTATATTAGTGGCAACGGTTGGTTGGCCTGCAAATCTTGTATATTACTGTGCGTATCCTATCATTTTGATTATTAAAATGATCGTGAAAAACGTGAAATGATCAGAAATCAAAAAAATAAATAAAAAAGAAAACAATCTTTGTGAGAAACCAACCCCATCAAAATTTATTTACACTACACAATTGTACAGTTTAATGCTAGGGACGCAGGAATGAGCTGTTGTTTATTTGATCCATGGCGACTTATATGTGGATCTTATCATCAAAACCAGTCTTTGAGGACATAAGGCCGACTCTGAGATTCTCTCCAAATATTTATTGAGAATAGCAGATAATATATATATATATATATATTATAGTATAGTATAATCTTGTTTAGAGTAATACACTGCTAAGTGTCCAATACTTAACTCCATTGGCATCGCTCTCCTGAGGTTGATGAGAGATGGCTCTTCTTGCTGAAGAGGTGGTTTCACTGCCCAAGAGTGTCCAAGAAATGTCTGTTGATGGTGATGAACCAACATCCCATTACATAGTTAAAGATTCCTTTATTGGTTCTGCGGATGACCCTTCTCCATCCCTTTGTCCATTTCCAATCCTTGATATTAGTCACTTTTCCTCGCCTTCATCTTCCTTTCCTAAAACAGAAGTAGACAAGGAACTAGAGAAGCTCAAGTCAGCCCTCAGCTCCTCGGGTTGCTTCCAGGTTTTTGACCCTTAACTTAAAATTACAGTGGAAAAACATGCATTTCACAGCTAGACTAGGCATCCACAACAGACAATCTCCAGTTTTTAACATTATCTCTCCATCCTTATTGAGTTGAGCTATAGTTAATTAGAAAAATATTGTAAATATGATATATTAGTACTTCTCTCTAGAGTATTTTCCTTTCGATACAGGAGCTACACTTTGTTTGGTGATCTTGACCCTACTAGGGAGGTCAGACTCTATCTCTGTTTGTTACCCCTGCATGATATGATTGTTGTTCCTGTACGTGAAGTCCATGTCAGATGATAAATAAGAATGAAGAACCGCCTATTTCTGATTTTATACTAGAATTTAGATTTAGATTCTTCTTGTACTTGAATGAAGCTTCACTGGTTTTCAAAATTAGGCATGGTGTTGTTTCAACATTTCAGGCAATTGGTCACGGAATCTCAAGCTCATTCCTTGACAAAGTGCGTGACGTTGCAAAGCAATTTTTTGCACTCCCAGAGACAGAGAAGCAGAAATACGCCCGAGCAGTTAATGAATCTGAAGGTTATGGGAGTGACAGAATAGTTTCAGACAAGCAAGTTCTTGATTGGTCTCATCGCTTAACTCTTAGGGTGTTCCCAGAAGACAAAAGAAGGTTCAATCTTTGGCCAGAAAATCCGAATGATTTCAGGTATATATTTATCACTGAATTGCAACTCTGACAAAAGATTTTCTTCTCCCTCTGAAAGATAATCATCAATCTTTTTCTTCAAAAGAACGAAATTTATTCCGAGCCACCTACATGTTATGCTTACGATCTTAAGATGGAGGATATGTCAGTCAGGGAAGCTTTTCCCATCAACAATGTTAAACGATATGATTCAGAAGTAAACTAAACATTATTCCGCTTGCAGGGACATCATGGACGAGTATGCCTCGAGGATAAAGGTTGTGACTGACGTTGTATTTAAGGCAATGGCAAGGGCACTAAATTTGGAAGAAAACAGCTTCTTGAACCAGTTTGGAGACCGAGCCTTAATGCAAGCAAGGTTTAATTTCTATCCAAGCTGCTCAAGACCTGATCTGGTTCTTGGTGTCAAGCCTCATACAGATAGATCAGGAATCACAGTTCTCTTGCAAGACAGAGAAGTTGAAGGTCTTCAAGTTTTAGTAGATGACAAATGGGTCAAAGTTCCTGTAATTCCTCATGCCCTTGTTATCAATCTTGGAGATCAAATGCAGGTAAACCAATAGTCAAATTATTGGCATATTCTCATTTGGAGTAGTCCTTGCAGCTAGAGATCGCTAAATAAAACTTTCTATAATTAATTTCTTGGTACATCAATCGGCACTTTAACACCAAATAGAGATAGATAATGAATGCATTTGAATCTAACTTTGAATCTGCTGCTATTTGAATGCATGCAGATAATGAGTAATGGAATATTCGAGAGCCCAATGCACAGGGTAGTAACAAACTCGGAGAAGTTGAGGATATCTGTCGCCTTGTTTAATGAACCAGAACCAGAAAACGAGATTGGAGCTGTGGATGGCTTGGTGGATGAGAACAGGCCAAGGTTATATAGAAATGTGAAAAATTATGGTGCAATCAACTATGAATGCTATCAGAAAGGGATGATAGCACTTGACACAGTAAGAATTTAGCTCTTGTACCCCAACTGTTGAATGTCTAATTCACAACTCTGATCCTTGTCCGAAGTGATGCAAAATAATTTGGACAAGCTTTTAGTGGAGATCTTTGTCATGTAGCTTCTATTTTTGATATTGTCACAAATCCTTATTCAGACCTTTATTTTCCCTGAAATGTCCAATATGTGTGTAATCATAATAGAAAAACGATGACTTCATTGTCCTACTATATGAAACAGTTTCATCAAAGAATATTCCAACCATTGCAAGAAGTGTTCCTTTTTTTCATAAAATTTGGAAAGCTAGCATATCTTTCAGGTCGAATATTCACTTTGGAATTTTTGTTGCAGTTCAAATTACACTGAGTCTATAAAAACTAATCTACTTTTGGTTTGCTTTGGATTTTCGAGCGTTACATAGCTTGCAAATCAATGTGGCCAAGTGATGATTATTTCTAGTGTGACAGTCATGCTAAAATTTCTACTATTTCAACTAATATTCAATCCACATATATATAATTATTATTCATATTTTTAAATTCAACATCGGATAAATTTGATATGAATGCATTAATTAATGAATACATTAATATTTGTTGGTTTAAAAAAATTGCAAGGCAATTATATTTACATCTTTGAGGATATACTTTAATGTTTAAAGCTTAAAACTCTCTTAGTTTGAATCTTGAATTAAGAATGAGACTGGATTTATAGAATCGAAGGACTCCCTCATTAAGCAGTCCGCTTGTAAACAAAAGAAATTATACTGACAAAATTGTTCTGTTTCTCACCATAAGAGGTTGGACAAAGAAGCCGTCAATTTTACAAGATGATTCCTTATTTGAACAATCGCGCAACTAGTAAACTGTTTGATGAGTTGTTTAGCACAAGCAATGGTGAGAAGTTCCTCTCCTCTAAACCCTCTTACCCCATAATCACAAGCCTTATGGTACATTACTCAAGTTAGAAGGTCGGCCAAACCAACAGGCTATTATTCCAAAACCTTGAATCAGTCACCTGGATTAATCTTTTTCTTCAAAAGGAAACCATGCATGAACCCACATTAGTATATGATAACAATGCAATTTAATTTCTCGTCATCTTATAATAAATTCAAGGACAGCAGTCCAAACCACAACAGGACATAACTCTTTTGCATGTCGTACTAGTTCTCAAGCTGCAAAGCATCCTCATTGCTTGACATCAAACATGGCCGGCATGCCGCTTTCTTCTGATGGGGTTTCATTGTCCAAGAGTATTCAAGAGATGTCCATGAACGGTGATGAGCCACCCCCAGAATTTTATGTAAAAGACAGCAGTTTCAGATGCACAGATTATTCCGATCTTTCTGCATCAATTTCAGTACCGGTCATTGATATTAGTCTTCTGCCCTCCTCAAAAGATGAACTGGAAAAACTAAGACAGGCTCTCTGCTCGGGGGGTTGTTTCCAGGTTCTGTATTCTTTTCAAAAGTCCATGGAAATTGCATTGTCATGTTTTAGATAAAGGATATAGTATTCGTTTTCGTATTCTTCCCTTTCCTCTCCTTCTCTTCCATGAATGGTAAACCCTCAAATTTGCTTAGGTATTTCCGTTGACTCTCATGAAACTTAACGAATTCATATTTTCTCTTGAAATTGTGTTGTGCGCCAGGCTGTTGGCCATGGGATCTCCAATTCATTTATTGACAAGGTCCGTGAAGTTGCAAAACAATTTTTTGGATTTCCACAGGAAGAGAAGCAGAAGTACTCCAGAGCAGTTAATGAGGTTGAGGGTTATGGCCATGATCTGATAGTCTCAGAAAAGCAAGTTCTTGACTGGAACAGTCGCTTGTTTCTAAGGGTATTTCCTGAACATCAAAGAAAGCTCAATCTCTGGCCAGAAAACCCAAATAATTTCAGGTATAATTTTTATTTTTTGCTATGTTTCTCAAATATTTGTTAATTAAGAAAAGAAAATGAATTTTTGGGATAAAATTGTGCTCTTAGGGCTCAAATTGCTCCTAATAGAAAAGCAATAATAAAAAATGCTGCCCTTCAACAAAGTAAATAAACTATCATGTTTGAACCAAACTTTACTTCTGATGTAGTTGCAATCTAATAGTTTGTGTTTTGTGAGAAGTTGCATTTTCTTGAAGAACTTGAACTAGGAGTTGAATTCTTGCAGAGAGGTCTTGCATGAATATTCCATCAAGCTAAAGCAAATGATGGATCTTCTCTTTCAGGCCATGGCGAAATCACTGAACTTAGAAGAGAAAAGCTTTTCGGACCAGTTTGGAGACAATCCAGTGATGCAAGTCAGGTTTAACTTCTATCCACCTTGTTCAAGACCAGACAAGGTTCTTGGGATCAAGCCTCATTCTGATAGATCGGGTGTGACTGTCCTTTTGCAAGATGAAGAAGTGGAAGGTCTTCAAATTGTCAAAGATGACAGATGGAGCACAGTTCCTGTCATTCCTCATGCTCTTGTTGTTAATCTTGGTGATCAAATGCAGGTGTGTCTTAAACTTGGAGGTATAATTTTAAATTAGTATTTAGCATTCAGAATTTTGAACACTGTTATCTCTGAAGACAACACATATCCTCTGACAAATATGTTGCTGGTCTTTTACTTTGTACCTTTTACCCTTTTCTTACTGCTCATATACAAAACATGGCATTTATATTGTGGCAATTGAGAATACTATAACAAACTGTTTGAGGCTTTGAGCAACTCCTATTTATTTCACTCCTAATAAACCAAACAAGAGGTAAAGTTACTGTAATCTAACTTTTAAGTTCTTGGAAATTAGTAAGATTTCTTAACAGAAACCATGGCATTGACCGCCAAGAAAATAAAACAGAAGAAATAGAAATTATAACATCAATCATAATTGCATCTAATAATTCTACAGCATAGAAGTCACCGGCAAAGTGAAAAGCAGTGCATAATTTGTTTGATTTACATTAATTTGGTGCAGATAATGAGTAATGGAATCTTCAAGAGCCCAATGCACAGGGTGGTGACAAACACAGACAAGTTAAGGATATCTGTGGCCATGTTTCATGAGGCAGAGCCAGATAAGGAGATAGGACCCGTCGAAGGCTTGATAGATGATAACAGGCCAAGGTTATATAGAAATGTGAAAAATTATGCTTCTTTCAATTATGAGTGCTTTCAGAAAGGCAAAGTAGCTCTTGAGGAAGTAAAATTTCATGCATAAGAGTATGTGATCAACTGATCATGTAAGGATTATGGCTCTTTCGTGGAAGCAGATTCTGATGCATGCTTAGCAGCGTCCTGCATCAGCAAGAAAGTAAGAACAAGTGTTAGGTTATTGTTGTGATGCTTAGAAGGTAACTTCATTAAGGCTATTTATTTTTCACTAGTGCTTTACGTGATTATCCAGAAGCTGGAAGGGAAAGAATTATAATTGCAGCTTTAATTGAGACTATGATGTGTTGAGAATTTAAGCATATCGAAGCTTGAAGTTTAGCTAAAAGATTTCTCACTCTTTACTGATATAATTGACAAAACTATGTGATTAGTCTAAATGTGGGAGCAAGCTTTCGTGCATAGAACTTGATTTCAGTTTCTCTGCAGCAGATTATAAGGACTAAGAATTCATATCAAACTTAAAATCTGACTCTTCTAACCAATGCCAGAAATGTCATAAATTCCCTTGAGATGGTCACATAATATGCATGTTAGTCAATTTTATTGTCAAAATAGAATTCTGTCAAAAAACAAATCTTTTTACCTGGTCACCAGCACTAGGATGTTGTAACAGAATGAATGAATGAATAGGGGAATATATGAGAATCTTACTATATAAATTTTATGATCCAAATTTAAATCGGGATTAGAACAGTCTTTTGGTTTGGGCATTGGTGCTGAAACATCGAAGTTGATATCAAATCATATGAGTTAATGAGTCAGTGGAATTTTTAGGGGCTTACTGTACAGGATGGTGGCAAATTCAAAGAGCTAAAAGGACATTGTTCTACTTTTCAGATCCAGAGGTGGAGATAGATCCAGCTGAAAATGTGATAGATGAAAAAGCTACAATTGCACAGGGCGCTGAGATTTGAGTGCTGCTTTGGAAGTTGAAAGATAGCACTTGACACTGTCAGAATATAGAAGGCCATAATCATTTCGACTTGTTTGCTCCAATAACTGGGCTTTGAGACTCTTCTCTATTAACAGAGCATGCGTTCTGTTGATGTTTATTGCTTGTTCTTCCTCTTTGTGATGGTGAAAATAAGGCACTGGATCATCTTCTAAATAATGTAGAAACCAAGAAATACCATTTATTCTCTCTTTTTCTTCCACTCTTTCCGGCTGAATGAATGAGGATTCATCGGAGCTGTCACCAAGGAAAGAGCCCAAATGTAGCAACTCAAGGTTAAATCCTTCCTACCCCAACTTAACAGTGACCAACTGAATATAGTTTTCACTCTCCCCCAGATCTTTCTGAACTTTCAAGATGCAATGTTGGTTTGCTAAATTCCAACTTGTCCTGATTGCATAGTTGAATACTACTTTTTACACTGTCAAACTGCCCGGCTGGGCCAGACTGAATTATTCAATAATACACGGTTGTCTGTCAACAAAGACAGCACCTTCGCCTGTTGTCACAGCTTAAAATATGATAGTTCATGATATCTCCGACCCACCTCCCTGTTTAATATTAGAATAATTACAAAAATTTTCAAAAAAAGAAGCGAGTTGACTCGCTGTTTTTCATGGTTCTGTCCAATGGTTGGCTCCTTCAACGTTGATGTAAATAGGGACCATCAGTTTGGATTATAATTCTTTTTCCCCGGCGATTGGAGTTGTCAAGGCTAACGGAGAAAACCAAGCTTCCAATACTATGAGGTTTCGGATAGGGAAAAGCCTTACTAACAATCATATTTCTAGTCTTAAATGAAGTTTGCACAAAATACTTTAAAAGGCAGTGGACAGAGTCATTAATGACCTCACCCTCACCCAGATACTGTTAAAGCAAAGAAGTCATGAATGACGACAGGCGGAAAACTAATAAGGCAAAGAAATACTTACGAAGATAGAAAACACAGAACAACTTGAAACGGGCTATTAGTTTTGTCAACTGTCCCTTCACCAGAAAGGGAAGTGTTTACCTCTTTTTGTGTATTTGGTCTAGAGGTTCATAATTCTAGCCTTGGCTCATTAACTAGTGGCTATAACTGCAAGCTCCAGAAGGCTTGAACTAGCAAATTCCTCAGGCCTTAAGACAAAACCCGCTCTAGGTTAACACTATCATCATCACAGCAACGCAACCTGAAAAGTGTGTACCATTCCCTGTTACTTTCTGAGGCAATATGGCTGAACCTCCCCCTCCTGTTGAGCTTCAACCACAAGCCCAAACTGTGCAGGAACTGGCGGCTACCAACAGGAACGACGTCCCGGAAAGATACATCCGTAAAGGCGATAATGGTGGAGTCCTAGATGATTCTTTTCCCCTGTTGGACGTACCGACTGTCGATTTTGGTCTCCTTGCATCTTCAACTGCAGGAGGAGAAGAACTAGAGAAACTTAGATCAGCTCTCAGCTCTTGTGGTTGCATCCAGGTCTGCTTTCTAGCACTTTTCTGTAGAAAATTACCTGTTAAAAACTGCATGAAATTACAGAACATTGCAGATTTTACTGTAGTTTAACTTTCAGTGCGTGAACATACAAGTCTAAAAGTAGCTCAATTCCTTGGGAATTCAACTGCTCATCAGTCAAAATTTGTTTATGACTTTTACATGAACATAAAGCATTGAGAGAATCAGTAGGATTAAGCATCTGATTTAAGCTGGTTAAGGCATCTTTTAATATTCGATCATCAAGTATCTTATAGCATGAGCCATTAAGCACTCTCAGAGTACAGGAGTAATGACAAAAATTAGTTAGCAATTTCAATCTCTTTTAACTTCAATTCTGAGAATTATTCTACGAGCTTCAGGCAATCAATCATGGAATTACAAGTGCATTTCTGGACGAATTGCGAGAAGTTGCTCGGCAATTCTTTGCTCTTCCAATGGAAGACAAGAAGAAATACTCCAGAGAAATTGGCAGCACTGAAGGGTACGGGAATGACATGATTCTGTCTGAGCATCAAACACTCGATTGGACTGATCGATTATATCTTATACTGAGCCCAGAAGATAAACGAACGCTCAAATTTTGGCCTGAAAATCCTGAAGCTTTTAGGTATTCTCGTTCTTGCCCATTATGTCCCAGCAACCCAAAACTTCCAAAAGTTAGACACCACTTTTGCTGCCAATACGACAAGAAAGTAAACAACAAGAATGAATTCTAGAAGTTATACCACTTAATCATATTTCTCATACCTTTTACAGGGGAATTTTACATGAATATTCGATGAAATTACAAGTAGTCGCTCAAGTCCTCTTAAAGGCAATGGCAAGATCACTGAACTTGGAGCAGAACCGCTTCTTGCACCAATATGGAGACCAAGCAACGACGCAAGCAAGATTCAACTTGTATCCCATATGTCCAAGGCCTGATCTAGTTCTTGGGGTCAAACCTCATGCAGATGGATCAGCAATCACTATGCTATTGCAAGACAAAGAAGTGGAAGATCTTCAAATCCTGAAAGATGATCAATGGGTTAGCGTTCCAATCATTCCTCAAGCCCTTCTGATCAATGTAGGTGATCAAGTAGAGGTAATGACCCCGATGATCTCATAATTAATAAGCTTTTCTATTCGAGTAGACCGATTAGTACCACTTGGCTGATTTATCAAGCTAAAACTTTTAACATTACTTGATAAAACTTTTAGAAGTTCTCCGTTAAAAAGATAAATCATTTTCTGTTTCATATATAAATTTGTTGCTATAAATCAAGAATAGATGACAGTAATTGACATGTGACTTTAAATAGATAATGAGCAATGGGATATTCAAGAGTCCATTACATAGAGTTGTGACAAACTCAGAAAGAGAGAGGATTACTCTGGCTGTTTTCTGCGTTCCACATCCAGATCAAGAGATTGAACCAGTGGAAGAGCTCATCACTGAGGCAAGTCCTAGATCATACAAGAAAGTTAAAGATTATGTCAGTATCTACTTCCAATACTACCAGAAAGGAAGGAGACCTATAGAAGCAGCACTACTTTGATGTTCCTGACAATTTTTTTTATTTTTTTTGGATTGTACTCAGAAGTGGCACCCAAAGCATTGAGAATTGAACCCAGTTATCGGTTAAACTTTAAGGAAATAAACAACTTTAGCTTCTGATATTAGTTTCATAAATTTTCTTAATTTACTCTTTGTGTATAATGTTGATCATGCCTAGTTTGCCTGGAAAAGGAGCTTCAAACCCTTTGTATGTACACTATATATATATATATATATATATATATATATATATATATATATCTTTTTTTTGAAAAAAGTCACTTTAATTGGGGACAAGTTCTTGTTGTTGTACCATGCAATAGCCCATTGGAATGCTATAAGCCCACGGCAATGGTTAAAGACACTCTGTTGTTCGTTAACACAGCTAAATCTGTTGAACAAAGAGAAGAGTATATCCGACTTTAAAAGACCTACAAAGAATGATGTTTAAGATCAGATATCTCAAGGTTCTAATAAGAATTGTTGATTGGTCTTTGCAAAGAAACAATCCATTGCATAATTATTATAAGTGAAACGCAGACAGGAGATTAAAGTACTAATAATGAATCAATGCATTTTCTCTTATTCATGATAATCACCACAATTAGATGTGGCCAATTATTTGGTGGAGCTCCTCCCATCAACAAAATGGAGTCCCACAATTGCTACAGAAAATAAATGATACAACAATCGCCCATCTCTCTTCCAAAGAATAAATGAACAAAAAATACTACAACATCCTCCGATATGTCATGATATCAGGAAACCGTGGGAAGAACTCAGACTATGGTAATTAAATAAATTCGACAAAACTTGGAGTGAAGCATCACATTTCCAGGGCCATAACTCACCTGAAATCAGATCATCAACATATCTTTCTTTCTTATGACTAGGACCATGCCCACCTCAGACCTTTCCTCTTGTCCTAAAGTTCTGTATTTCAGCGCTGATTGCTCTTTGTTAGTCTACCGTCTACACGGTCCATATAATTTATTCAGAAATTGAACTTCATCTTGGCGTCATGTGGTTCCCACAGTATGTAAAAAACTTTCAAAAAGAATTTACGTTTGCAGCTATGACAATGTGCATGAGGTTGGCACACCACCGATAAGGTCTTCTTTACTGCTGATTCCAGTGAGCCACCGGAGACCCAGTCACAATAATGCTGACAAAAAAATGTGAAATCCTTCACAAGAGTCAGTGACAATGCCAAATCAATATCAGAATGATACACTGATCAATAAATAAATAAACAAATACACACACACATGCATACAAGAAACATATGTATATATACAATATCAATCAGATTTATACTATTTGAAAGGGGAGAGAGAGAAAGAGGTAAAGTTAATGGGGCCAAATTTATTGTTTAGCGAAACAGATTTTAGCAGAGATGAAGTGAATATGATTGCAGCGCATAACATATTTGTGTCCTAGTAAAGATCCATGAATTATCAAGCCAATTAACCAAATAAAGCAATTAAGTCTAGCAGACAAAGTTATACATGAACCAGAACATGTATATGAAAGGGAAATAGTTGCAAGCCGTAATGGCTGCCAGGAGCAAAACTCCCATACCCTCCAGCAAAGCACCATCTTTACGTGTCAACTTTAAAGCCTTGATTTTAAAATTTTTGGTTTAAAAAGCTTTTTCAGCTTTTGACAATTAAATAACTATTAAAAATGACCCAAAAAATAGTAACAACCTACAATAAGATAAAGAAAGAATTAGCCAAACAACTTACATGTAAGACAAGAATATAGAGCTAACTGATTTTAACACTCTCTGGAGAAGATGAAAGTGCAGCACCATTTCGCTCAACAGATTTCTCCCTCAAAACT